CAAAGACGTGTGCGGCCTAGCATTGTCCTGCTGGAAAATGACACCTTTACGATTGACCAATTCTGGTCGCTTTTCCTTGACCGCTGCATTCAATTTGTCCAGTTGCTAATATTCACGGATAATAAAAAATAACATAATAATAATAATAATAATTTTATAATATAACATTTACGGATATCATAAAAATGGGAGTGAGAGACATCTATATCTGAAATCGGCAATTACTTAGTTGCCAATCCAATAATTATATATTATAATATTATAATAATAATATTGTTATAACATATATATAATAACATATAATTATAATATATATTATTATAATAATATTTTTAGAGTAGATCAATTTTTAGAGTACCTCATAATTTTGTCCATTGATTGTAATCGAGTTTATAAGATTATAACCAATATATATGTTATATTGTTATAATATATATTATTATAATAATATTTTTAGAGTAGATCAATTTTTAGAGTACCTCATAATTTTGTCCATTGATTGTAATCGAGTTTATAAGATTATAACCAATATATATGTTATATTGTTATAATATATATTATTATAATAATATTTTTAGAGTAGATCAATTTTTAGAGTACCTCATAATTTTGTCCATTGATTGTAATCGAGTTTATAAGATTATAACCAATATATATGTTATATTGTTATAATATATATTATTATAATAATATTTTTAGAGTAGATCAATTTTTAGAGTACCTCATAATTTTGTCCATTGATTGTAATCGAGTTTATAAGATTATAACCAATATATATGTTATATTGTTATAATATATATTATTATAATAATATTTTTAGAGTAGATCAATTTTTAGAGTACCTCATAATTTTGTCCATTGATTGTAATCGAGTTTATAAGATTATAACCAATATATATGTTATATTGTAACAATATATATTATTATAATAATATTTTTAGAGTAGATCAATTTTTAGAGTACCTCATAATTTTGTCCACTGATTGTAACCAAGTTTATTATAATTATATATTATTAAATTATATTATTTACAATATTATTACAATCATTGGACAAAATGATGAGATACTCTAAAATTGTTAGGAACTAATATTTCACCTTAAATCGGATTGTGTTCGAAAAACTACGTGTTCGAAAAATCTGTAGCCATTAAACATGACTGAATAACAAGGATCGTTACCAATACTTTAACATTGAAGATAAATATTTGAGAATATCTTAAACGGATAATAAAAAATAACATCATAATAATAATAATAATTTTATAATATAACATTTACGGATATCATAAAAATGGGAGTGAGAGACATCTATATCTGAAATCGGCAATTACTTAGTATTTTTGTTCCAGAGAACTTCGATTCTTTGACCCTCGGACAGCGAATCATTTTCACAACTGTACAATCGACGGTGTTCGTGAACATTCCCAGTTGTATTGATCAGTTTTTGAGGACACGTTTTTTAGCATGCTTCGCGTAGGCGTATTTCCATTGTTCCTAATGTGACGGAAACTTGTTGAATTTAATTGTCGAAAACTGAATACAGTAAATTCTCCCAAATTGACGATCAGATCGAACAAAAATGAACAATTTGGGATGAGGAGATGCGGCTCGTTTTTATAGTTCTTTTTACCGATTGTCAACTATTGTGTACAATCTGAGCGTCAATTAGGGAGAATTTACTGTAATTAGATGGCGATTTAAGTACACCGAATGCTTCTGTTCGCTTCTCGAAATTACCTTTCAATAGCGGATGGAACTTAACCCTTCGTGGACGAGTGTCGACATAGTGACATCAGGATAATTCTATAAGTTGCAAATTTTATTATATGCACGCAGAACGAAATAATCATTATTTCTCTAACTATTAATGTCTTCGATACGTAGACTATGAGAGAGTCTACGAGACTATGAAACTATGAGAGAAATACTATCTTTACTTTTAAAAAATCCGCGTCCGCAAAATATTAAACGAAACGATCAAATTCGTTCGTTCCTTCTGAAAAGAATCAACTACCGCAATACGTATTTTGTACTATATATAGAACCAGCGTGTTTAATATCTCGTAGCAAAAGTGTGGATTCGTATATCCTTAATTTCTCCAAAAAATTAAGACCTTTGTTGTACGAATCATAAGTAGATTGTTTAACAGATACTTATTTGATAGACTGTTTTATAAGAATTCGAATGCAAGAGAATTTCATTAATAGTTTATTTATAGTCAAAATAAAGGAGAACGTCATTGATGACCGTTTAAGTAAAGATTGTCCTCTAAATGTTGTCAATGTGAAATTATACCATAAATGCATTATGAAAATTCAAGCAAACGTACGCTACGTAGTTGCGCAAATTAATAAATTTCGAAACTGTTTGTGCAGAATTGTGGCCGCAGGTGCGAGAACGGCGTGAATGTAAAAAGCTGATGAGCAAACTGCGTTTCAAGAGTAGAAGATGGTATTATATACAGGAAAGAAAGACACAATAAACATTGTGTCATAATGTCGAGATAAGAAGCAAAATGAAGACTGTGCTTCGCATCTTTTGCATAATTGAAAGGAAAAGAAAAACAGAGTTGAAAGTATGACTTCTGTGAAAAGAGAGAAGGAGACGCTTATTTATTTAACAGAAGAGGTGAAAAGTCGACCAAATGGAAGAATAAATTAGACACGTTATAATGTAACGTTAGACACTTTATATAATAAATATGAAATAAAATTTTTCATTAAAAAGCAAAGTGTAAACCAAGATCACGTAACTAGCATTATTTAAAAAAAGAAAAGAAAAATTGATTGTACAGTTTAAATCAAAATGTTATTTATCGATGTATGCACTGTTTACTTGTATGCATTTTTTCAGTATGCTCCCAACAAGAATCTCATGTTTCAACAAAGTCGTCGTTACATTATAACCGATTTAAACCCTTTCATTATACATATACAATCTAATATGTAACACATTTAGCGTCCAATATCCAATTGAAAAATTCTCACGTAATTCAATCATTGTTATAATAATGAAATCACGTGATTTAATCAGCTAGAACAGTTATTGAGATTGCAAAGATGCGTTTACACATAATTACTGAACCGATGTATTTATTTAGACCAATTTCATAAGAACATATATAATAAGAATATATATATATATATATATATAAAAATTCTTATATATTATTATTATATATATATATATATATATATATATATATATATATATATATATATATTTATATATATTTATTATATTATTATTATATATATATATTTATATATANATATATATAAAAATTCTTATATATTATTATTATATATATATATATATATATATATATATATATATATATATATATATATATATTTATATATATTTATTATATTATTATTATATATATATATTTATATATATTTATTATATTATTATTATATATATATATAAGAATATATATAATATTTCACTTTTAGTTGAAACTAGTCGTTCAAATTCACCATAATGGACGCTCAATGAGAATTAAGCAGAGCTAAGCACGCTCTCCTGCTTTGAAAATTTGAATAAATTTCAATTATATCGAGTATGTTACAATCGCACGTTAAAAATGCCACGCTAATATCACACGGTTTCTCCGTCTGGCCAACTTCTTATAACGTGTAATTTATTATTATGCAATCATGCGTGACACATTTATTTCACAGAGTCATTTTAACCCCTTGCCATACTTCGACGAGTCTGACACGTGACGGAGATTTCTATAGTAATAACCAGTTAAGTATAAATGATATTCCGTTCTTTTCAGTCGGAATAAAATCCTGATTTCTTGTCATCGGTATTTAAACATTTCAGTAAACGTAGACAATAAATACGAACAAACAAACCACAATAAATACAAATTGTCTTTTTTCTTCTTAGAAATGATTACAATCGAAAAACTTTTGATCGCTGCAACTATGAAGAAAATCGTACGGCAAGGGATTAACGACGACGATAACATTGAACAATTTTGAAGAATTTTACTCGATTTATGTTTTTAGGAATCTGGCCTTCGCTGGTCACCTTCATAGTCGCCCCGTGGCCTTCGACGTGTCAAATACAGAAATTTCTGAATCTAATCAGAGATCAGTATCACCTACATGCGATCGACGCGGCACTTAACGCGTTAAAAAATGATGCACCGAGCGAAAAATGATGCTTCATTAAATAAATATCATTATTCCCGGAGAACGGTGTTGTCGTCGTAATAATCGCAGAGCAGACATGGCTGCGAATATCGTCGGAGACCGTGGCCAGGCTTGTTTGGCCAGGTTTCCCTAATTCGCTAACGATTCCGCGGCCGTGGTCCGAGGTTCACGAGAGACGATGACGCGCGATTACAAGTTTAAGGTAGCCGACACTCGAACAGCGTCGGCGGCGGCGAGCACGACTCCTCGTAAAATTATCCGTAATAAAATCGTGATTTACACTCGTGTTCCTGGAAAGCGGACCGCTCGGAACGTTCCACTATCCCGGCTCGTTCCACTACCCGTTTTACCTCTTCGTTCGTCAGCGGCCGAGATAGTTATACGAGGTCGAACCCCATCGGGACGACAACGCTGTCCGCTGCGAAGGCACCGAAGGCACTTTGACCTTTCCGTGGATCGAGTTATTTTTTAACATTCCGATAAAAACTGCTCGGTTTTGGCCTCGTTACCGTTCTCGCCGTCCTCTTCTATCCTTAAATCAGGAGCCGCGTCAACTCGCGTTGCGAAAAGAAGAAACGAAAATGTACAGTTACACGTCGTAAACCGAGCGTTTGCGTTTCTTTGTTACACTTCTTACCACGAAGCAGCGTATACAGTGGCTCCGAAGAATATTTCGAATTTCTTGTTATAATTCGTTGAAACCTTCTATTCTTATATATTGTATGCACAGTGCGACAAATAAGTTCCGAGACTGGCCGAGGAAAACATCATTGATACAAGATATGAGCCGTTTATTTTGAAAATGGCATAAGTCACTTTTTCAAAAAAGTCGAGTTAATGGTAACACTAATTACAATTGAACGGTGTCTTTTCACTTTAAGAAAATTTGCAATCAATAAGTTGAGAACTATTGAGATTTGTTCGAGAGAAGTATTGCTAATTAACGGTATAACAAACATGTTTATTTTGAAAGTGGCGTAAGTCGCTGTACTCGGGAAATTGTACACAAATATAGTCAATTTGGAAAGAGGAGATGCGATTATTCGAACCTTGTGGCTCATTTTTATAATTACCGATCATCAACAACTATAAAATCAAGCCGCAATAATCGAATAATCGTATCTCCTCTCCCCAAATTGTCCATTTATGTTTCCAAGCTGAGCGTCAATTAGGGAGAATTTACTAACATTGCATTTGTCTCGCGTTGCCATCGGAATAAATGAACCGTTTATTTTGAAAGTGGCATAAGTCATTTTTTCAAAGAAATCGAGTTAATGATAACTCGATTACTAATTACAATTGAACGGTATCTTTTCATTTTTTTAAAATTTGCAATCAATAAGTTCAGAACTATTGAGATTTGTTCGAGAGAAGTTTTGCTAATTAACGGTATAACAAACATGTTTATTTTGAAAGTGGCGTAAGTCGCTGTACTCAGGAAATTAATTGCGGAGCTTAGTGTAAAAGAAATAGAAACGTGTGATAAGTGTGCGTGAAGTATTGTTTTGAATTATTTTCAGTATTTTTAAAAAAGTTGTGATCGCTGGCCTTATTTTTATAAGTGCGAAAGAATAGTGCAGTTTTGTAAATTATATTATAGTGATGTGGCGGCTACCTCCAGACCCGCCAGCAGATGGCTATAAAATGTTTTATAAACTAACTTTAGATGAAAAAGATGAATTTCTAACTTTGGATTTGTCGCCAAAAAGAGGAAGACCTAGACGTTATTCACAAATAGAAATGGATCCGTTATACGCTGGATCTCGTCCTGTTTCTTCAGCAAAATACAAAGACATGATGGACTTGCTTAACTATATACCCCCAATATACCACAGTTATTTGAAAAATTTGAAACAAAACACGATTTCCGAGGACTTAATCACTCCTATTGATGACGAAAATTAAATTGAACCGATGTATTTTCATATAAATTACTTATACTTATGTTTCAAAATGTACTAATTATTTTTGTATTTTATGAATATTAAAATAAAAAATACTTAAATCAAACCTTTATATTAAATATGTTTATGGTATAAATTATTATTATATATGTAATTTATTCAACAATTTTAGTAAATCACTGTCCTTTCAAAACATCATTTCGGTAAAATACGTCGGACAAAATTAATATATGTCAGTCATTTTTCTAAACTATTTATTTTGAAAGTGGCTCAAGTCAATTTACCGTAATGAAAAGTGATGATTTTTTTAATGTTTATACGAAATTATTTATACTGAAAAAAATATCAGTATCCTGAGATAACAAGTACAAGTAAATCATCTCGAAAGTTAGCATCCATATTTTGAAACGTGTTAAAACGCAAACCCTTAAATATATCGACTTGAAAACAAAGTGACTTATGCCACTTTCAAAATAAACGGCTCATATATGAATATTTTTCGGTTTTTTGTATTCAAAATATTCTCCTCCAATTTCAATACACTTGTTACAGCGATTCAACCGTGACACAAATGCGTGTTTTAGCTCATTTTGTGGAATTGCCTTTAGCGCTCGTGTTGTAGCTATTTTGATGGTCGAAATGTCATTAAAAAGGACATCCTTTCAATTACAATTTCAATTTTGGGAACTGGGAGAAGCCACATGGGGCCAAATCAGGCGAATACGGTGGATGATTCAACTGCCGATTAACACCCGGCTAGAGAAGAACACCCGGTTAGATCTACGTTGGGTCTAGGTTATGTATTTTTTTAATGTTTTTATAATAATAAAAATATACAAACACGATTCGCAAACAGAAGTAGCAAGAATATTCTATCAATCTGAAGAAAATATTACTCAACAACACAATCTCTACGAGCCTGTAAAACAATGCAACGAGCAGTCTCTCGAATGTAAAAAAAAAGAACACCCGGTTAGGTCTACGTTGGGTCTAGGTTATGTATTCGACAGCAACGCTCGAGGGTCGTGTATAACGTAAACGCAAAGTAGAACACACGACTGCCATGAGTCGTAAAAGGAACCTATAAAATTGTGCCCCATAGCTAGGGCAGCGGGACAGTCGGCAATTTCATATTGTATATTTACGTCAATCTTCTCATGTTATGAAACAACATAGGCGAAGGTAATATATGGGCCACGGTTACGAAACCTGTAACCCTGAAAAGGAATTATTTATGAAGATGAAATAACATGTAATGTAAACTGTGTTCGAGAGGTATTAAATTATTACTCAAATTCCAATGCTTATTGAGCTTAGCAGGCTTGTGAGTGTGATCTCGGTGAAAGTTTTCAGAATCATTTTTGCGATCACATTTCTTATATTTCCGGATAAAAAGACCGTTAGAGTGTAATACAATATTTACTAATACTATTATTTGTACAATTTGGATATATTGAAAATATGCAGTGGGATGTATCAAATTATTAAATAGTATGTAAAAATATTAAAAATATATAAAATTAATATTATAATATATTATATATTATAATATTATATATATAGTATATAATTATTATATTATATATAATATATTATAATATTAATATTATATATTTATAATATTTTTGCATACTATTTAATAATATTATAAATATAACAATATATATAAATATATATATATATATATATATATATATTAAAAATATTATAATATGTAAAAATATCCAATGTTTGCAAGTGCCCCGTTGTCACGCATGATCTGTAAGACCATATCATTTGTATAATTTTGTAGTATTTATGTTTTTAAACGAAGAGCCTGGAGCCTATTACAAAATGAACAATTTCGTGTTTTCTCTTGTTCGAAAACATAAGCCTCCCACTAATGATCGATCCTCGTACTCCAACTTAAAATTAAATCTTGAGACTAACGACAGGCTTAATCTAGTTTGTTATTAAGCTAATTGAGACGTTCGTTTTGAAATATGGTAAATCGCGATGCGCACCTGTGTGCTTAAACGGGAAGGAAGCCTCAGCTGTGAAACGGCACAAATGGTCTATACCTTTTGTCGGACGCACTTTGGCGCCACGAGCGCCAAGATTACGTCTGCAACGAAACCCCCGTAAGTCCCCTCCAGCGATGCGCAGACGAGCAACTGGGTTCCCAAAAGAAACTAGCAATCATAGAAACGTGTGTACACTCGAGACGCTATGAGATCTTATGCGAGCACAGCGAAGCTAACGATGTGTAATTAACAGTAAAATTGAGCTAGTAATGAAATAAAACGTAGTCTCGTCGATGGAACTTCGATTGTAACACAGTTCGACGAATGTTTCCCATTTGTTCTATTGGGTTGGCAACTAAGTAATTGCCGATTTGTTCAATGAAATAAAAAATTTTTTTTACTTGGAACGAAGTTTAATCTGTAATGTATCTTCCATTTTGTTCGATGACCTTTTGTCATCTCTCTGACAACTTGAAAATTCCACGCTCGTAGAAAGTCTGATCCTTTTCGGCCAAAAACTGAGTTAAGTGAGATTTTACAGCGTCATCGTCATTCAAAGTTTTACCACGAAGGGAGTTGTCCAGGGATCGAAATAAGTGGTAATCCGATGGCGCGAGATCAGGGCTATATGATGGGTGTAACATCAATTTCCAACCAATATCCATCAATTTTTGCCGAGTGGACAAAGACGTGTGCGGTCTAGCATTGTCCTGCTGGAAAATGACACCTTTACGATTGACCAATTCTGCTCGCTTTTCCTTGACCGCTGCATTCAATTTGTCCAGTTGCTAACATTCACGAATAATAAAAAATAACATAATTATAATAATAATAATTTTATAATATAACATTTACGGATATCATAAAAATGGGAGTGAGAGACATCTATAACTGAAATCGGCAATTACTTAGTTGCCAACCCAATACAGGGTGTCCCAAAAATGTCTCGCATTACAGAAATATGGGGTAGCTGAGATCATTCTAAGTAACTTTTTCCTTTGCGAAAATGCAATCTGTGGCTTTGTTTACGAGTTATTAACGAAAAACGCCTACCAATGAGATGCGAGCTTGCCTAGTGCTTGGCGGCCGAGCCAATGAGCGCACGAAGCCCGGTTCCACTCATTGGCTCGGCCGCCTTGCGCCAGCATATCTCACCTCTCATTGGTCCCTCTTTTTCCTTAATAACGCGTAAACAAAGCAATGGATCGCATTTTCGCCAAGGACAAACTTACTTCAAATTACCTCAGGAACCTCCCATTCTCGGATTACGAGACATTTTTGGGACACCCTGTATAATGATTTCAAACGATTTTCCATCCGGCAATCTTAAAGTTTCTTCCGTTGATGACTTTTTTCTCGTATCCAGATCGAAACGGAGTTGACGTATCTTCTGAAAATCGAATAATTTTGTTGACCTACAAGTTGAGTTTTATCAATTTCTGCTATGT